TGATGACCTAAGGTTTCTCGTATAAAACATGGGATACATGCCCTAACAATTGTATGTTGTTCAGAAATGAGGATGAAGGACATGATGAATGTGAGATATGCAAAAGTTCTAGATAGAAATAGTTCGAAGGTAATCCACATGGTATGATGTCCTGTGGAAAATGAACAACTGCAAAATAGGTGAGGTATTTCCCTTTGAAACAGGTTGAAAAAAAAACCATTTATGTCATCAAAAATCTCTTTGCTAATGATATGACATGTGAAGGAACCACTCGATGATGGTGTATTAGGCATCCAATTGACTCCCTTGCTTGGAATACTTTTGATTGAAAAAAAAGCCAACCTTTGATAGTGACATTCTGGATGTTAGATTTAGGTTAGCAACTGATAAATCAAGGCCATTGAGGTCCTTGAACATAGTTCATAGCACTTGGCCAGTAATACTAATTACAAACAACTTACCATCATGATTGAGCATGGAGCAGCGTTTTCGTATTCTATCTGTGCTTGGAAGGTGTAAATACATTGATACATCAACCAAAGAAATGTTTCAACTGCATGTAGGTTTGTTGTGCAATCAGTTATTTCCCTGCATATGCCAAGTTATTTGGGTCGAATACGAAGGGTGAATATGCTTGTCCTGCTTGTAATACAAAAACTTAGTCATATTGGTTGAAACACAGGAGAAAATATTGTTATAAGGGTTACCATCATTGGTTACCTGATGGACGCAAATTTTGGAAGTCAAAGGAGTACTTTGATAGCACACGGGAATATGGAGGCCAGCATGTCACTTTGACTGGAACTAATTAATTACTACAATCGGAATCAGAACATATCTTGACCGAATATAAGAAGGATGACCATATGAACAAGAAGATGAGAGATATACATAAGGAAAAATGGTGTGTCCAAAAAACATCATAGGAAGAAAAAAGAGCATCTTGTTTGAATTGCCATATAGGAACATAATTTAATAAGGCATAACCTTGATCTATGCATGTCGAGAAGAATATTTATGACAATCTATTGTGGATAATATTAGGAGTTATGGGAAAATCAAAAGACGACTTGAATGCACGACGTGATATTTAAGAAATGGATATTAGAAAACCACTACACCCAAAGTCAAGAGAGTCTGATAAAGAGTACTTACCTCCTGTGCAATTTTTCATGAGTAAGAATGACAAACATAGATTTTGCAAAGTACTAACATGGGTCCTATTACTAGATGGACATGTTGTTAGTAGTATGCTCTAAGACCAATAATATAGATGATATTTTGGAGTTGTACTGATAACATTCATTACATAATTAAATAAAAGGGTAAGTTTATTTATCATGTTTCTACTTTACTTTATTTTAATATACATGATATAGTCTATAGAGTTAAGTTAAGAAGATGTTTTCTTAAGGAGTTGAGAAGAGAAGACTTATACTTTTTAGTACTTAACTCTTAAATGTTTCTAGTCATAGGATTACTATGTGGGCACTATATAATCCGAGTAGACTAACATACACTACGTTTTCTCATATTTGATATGAGCTGACTTGTCTAAGTTACTAGTGTATGAACACTAAAATAGGTGTGAGGGTGCTTGTTAGAGAACAAGCACACTGAACGTGACGATTAACTAACGTATGATTTTTCATATGAAGTTTTACATACCTGTCAATGTTAAATCCTAAAGTTACAGTTTTTCAATTGATCCTTAGACTAGTGACACCATGGTTGTCTTGTGTATTGATTTCTATACTTTAACTATATACAATATTCATATACTAACCATGTAACTTGAATATGCAGTGTTGGACATTGTTAGACATCCATAGAGAGTTATGAGTGTACAACAAGGAATATATCACCCTTAGTAAATAAAGGGAGAATGTCATATGTGATCTTCTAGGATATGACTTAAAAAGAGTTTTTAATTGATCATTAGAAGTCATACTTCTAAGTTCAAACACATAAGATTTAGTTAGGGGTTTGATAGTAATTCCACACCCTAGTAATTAAATTGGGGCATTGTGTGATAGAAGGATTGAATTTTATGGCAACTATAGACTGAATGGATTCTTTACCTACTTCGTGCTATCTAGAGGTTGATTATGATATGTTGTTAGGTGTCATTCATGACTAGTAGAAATCCGAAGAATAAAATTAATATAAATATACTAGTTTTTCTTCATAAATGGAGAATTAGAAGAGTTCTAATTCAAGCTAAATTAGAAAGAGTTCTAATTTGAGATGCAACTTGTAGATAGTATCAAATGCGTACAACTGGATATGCTTGAACCTATAGGGTCACACACAATAGAATTGATTGGAAACTAAAAGATAAAGGAGAAAAAATCAATTAAGAGTTAATTGGGGTGAAAACCTAATTAAGAGTTAATTTGGGACTTTATTACAATTAATGGTTAAAAAATGGGTTATATGTAATTATAAGATAATTGGAACTAGATCCAAACTAGGATTAGAGTCTTCTAGGCTCCATAAATACCCTTATATAGGAGGCGGATATATGACAAAACAATTCTCTCTTGCTAGCACATGAAACATCTTCCTTCATTCTCTCTCTAGTAGTTCATCAAAAGCTTAGGTAGTTTCTTCAAGTTTGTCAATTCGCATGGATATAGATAGAGGCCAAATATTTGTGAGGTTTTGCCTAAAAATCAAATTCAAATTTGAAGATTTAAAGTGTTTGAGAAAGTTAAATTTGAAGATTGTTAAAAGCACAATTCAAGAAGTAACAATTAATCTTCTCTATAGATTTAAAGTTTCTCGGTTTGTATTGAATATGAATAGATCTTAGAATAAAGAATCAAATTATTATTTTTAAATTCCACTGCATTTTTATATGATTCCTTTCATATACCTCCAATATGTCATGACGTGTAAATTTATAAGAATGAAGTATTAGAGGTCTTAAAAAAAATGTGGCAAAAGCATAAACATCGAACAAAGAAAAAGTATTTTGAACTCCTCAAGACAGATGTGAATCTTTCATTAAATATTCCTGTTGAAATAGTGTCACAACAGTAGCAAGAGCTTGGGCAGTATTGGGGAATTGACATAGCGAAGGTGTGTGTACAATTTAGGAAATAATAGTCAATTCACTGAAGTGGGCGAACTCACTCTTCCCAGTTACGGAGATAGGCAAGTGACTTTTAAAATAGTGAAAGTTGAAGGTGAGTCCACCTAGATGTATTTATTTGGAGATAAGTCTAGTAAGGAAACTTAAAAGGAGATAAGTTCATGTTTAAAATTATGTGTAATGACTTAAGTCCACTTTTTTTTATCTCAAAAATACCTTTAACAGTGTTAAATTTGGTCAATTATGGAAAGTTATATGTTAGATGTTTGAGATATATATGATAACAAATTTTTCAGTTTTTTATGAAAACCGAATATATCATAATCTGATGCTTGAATTACGACAAAATTATTGGTCTATTAATTCAATTTCAAAAGATTCCATTAACAATTCAAATTCAAAATCATAGAATCCAGTTGGACTATTCTCCCTCTCTCTTCTGTCTCCCTTCATAGACGATCAAATGGATTTCTCTGCTCCGCTCACTCCCGTGGTGGTGCAGCCGTCCAAACGTCGTCCAGTAAATTAGCTGTCTCCACTTATTTTTACTCTCTCATGCTTTTCCGATCTTGCCAATGATGGAAAAACCTCAACACATTGAACGGTCTGGTGGTTTTGCGTCATCATTTGCATTTGGGCACCACCAGGTGAAATTATCGTTCGTGCTTTGGAATTAGAATTATTATTTTTTTTTGGTTTTTTTTCCTTTGTTTCTACTGAAATTCAATATTACTTACCTGTATTTATATCGAGACGTTCTGTTCCCGGAGTTTTTTTTTTATTTTGTTTTTGAAATTAGATTCTAAGTGTATTTTCATATTACTCTTCGTGTTTTATTAGAATTAATATTGATTTGTTAAATTGAATGTTTCATGTTATTATTTTTTTATTATGTTACTTTTCATGTTACTGTTTTTCTTGAGTATGTTACTGTTCATATTACTATTATTTTTAGCATGTTATTGCTTTTGTTGAGCATGTTACTACTATTATTTTTCTAAATATTAACATTCAATATTACTATTTTTATTTTTGTTTTTGAATATTACTATTTTTGTGTTTGAATTTGAGGGAGATAATTATTGTTAAGCATGTTATTGTTTTTGTTAAACATGTTACTATTTTTGTTGAACATGTTATTATTTTTATTTTTTAAAAATATTAATATTGAATGTTTCTATATATATATATATATTAATATATATATGGATATATATATATATATATATAATAATATTAATATTATATACTCCTAAGATTTAAAAGTTTTTAATTTTTAGAGACTTTATTTTTAAAGGAAAATGTAGTCTTGTGAAATTGACAAAAAACGGACTTCATGACAAATAAGTTTCCTTGACAGACTTAAATCCAAACAAGTTTATATAGGGGAATCGGCCTCCAAATTTCCCTTTAAAATAAATATGCTTTGATATGTAATACAACATCTATATTTGAGAAGTATTTAAATCTAGTTTATATGTTTGGTAATATTATTAGATGGAAAAAGTGGAGAGAGCACTGATAAAATCAAGTTATAATTGAGTTAAGTCCTATTTAAGAAATTTATAATGAGGTAAGCTCATTACTTAAACATATGGAAATAAGTCCTATTATTATCTTTCTAGTAAGTGGTTAAGTCCAAAATGCCCTTCCTATAAAGTTGAAAACAGTTTTCAATGTTTAAATCAGTTTCCTAACGAGGAAACAATAACCCCTTGATTCATGCTTAATGGAGATACGCCAGAACGATTTTATCATAAAATTTGAAATTCAACATGAGGTTTCTTTAGGGCTCAACTCCGCTATCAATTTTGATCCCAAAAGATTCTCCAGACTCTCACCTTTAGCTCTATTGGTTTCGCCTTAGATGGAACAATCTCAAACAAGCTCAGTCGCCATAGCATTACCTGCAACTAGAGCCACCGCAGCAGCAGAACATTCCTCTACTGATCACATTTGCTTCTATGGCTTTTGCCACAATTTTCAATGCCACCGCCGTCATCTCCGTTGCATTTTGGTTGCTTTTCGTCGCCACAGTCGCCATACCCTTTGCTTTCTCTTTCTCTTTTCCCGACGAGCCAATTTGGGTTTCAGCAACTACCTCTGTCGCCGACACTGCTAGAGCCGGTAACGAGCCCAAGGTGAAAAGACCTCTAAGATTCTTTTGCTACAATTATACTCCCCTGGTACAAAGGTAAGTGCTTTAGAATTTAGAGTTTTGTTATGAGGGTTTTATAGTTTATAGAATATAGATGTATAATTGTGTATGGTGGGAACTGGGAACTACATTCAATGGCCAGTGATCGGAGGGAAATGAGCTTATGCTGATAAAATAGAGTTTGTTTTGTTCATGAATGTTAATAGGACATGTGAAATAGAAGAAGTTTGAAGATTTGTTCTGTTCTTTTATGTGTTCAATATTGGGGTCAGATGGTTGTGAAATAAATAAATTATCTATGAACTTTACGTTATTCTTGTTATATGTTTTCTATTTTTGATTGAGTTTATGAGTGCTGTATATGAATGTGAAGAGTTGCATCAAAATGCTTACGAATTACTTAGATGAGATTAGCTACATGTAAATAAATGTGATTTGTAAATAAATATACAGAGCAACTAATTTGAGTGACTGCCATTACTGATATTGATTCATGATTTGTGATATTGCAGTGGTTATTTGTTACTATATTTTGTTTTATATGTTATTTTTTTTGTTATTAGTATGTTACTATTTTCTCGTCTATTCATCGTCAACTGCCCATCTTGATTAAAAATGCTCAAGACACACCTAGGACACTGCCAATAATTTTTTTTATTCTAGAAAATGACTGTTAGCTGTTAAAAGTGTTGTGATTTCTATTTTTTTAATATATTTTTTGTTATGTAACTTATATACTACGAATGTTAATGGATGTAATGATCTTGGTGAAAATTGTGATTATTTATTTTTATCTATTTCAATATTAAAAAAAATTAATATTTGTTAGGTCTTATTATTAATATTATGTAATATATACTTTATTTTTTAATATATTATAACTTTATTATTATTTTAAAAATGTATTATATTATTAGAATAATTATATATTGTCATACTTGTGTCTTATATTTTCGAATTTTGTTGTATCTCAGTATTCATATCATATTACATACGGCACTTTGTCTGTGTCCATACTTCTTAACTTTCAATCATTCTCACATCTTCCATACATCCAACCTAAAAATAAAACCAAAAAGTTATGCCGAAAATAATAGAATTTTAAGACAAACTGTTATTGTCATAAAGGTGAGAGATATTTGACGAAAAAGGTCAAAATCGTTTCCTCTTGCCCACAAGGGCAGTTTTATTCCCAACAAGGACAATGATATCATGACTCCCTCTCTCAGGTGCGAACCTCCTCAATCCACCTGGAAGTGTTCAGGAATAATTGCCTGCCTAAACTACAAAACGGCGCCATTAAGTGATCCAATTACTAGCAAAACCAAACAAAATTCATTTCAGTCTACATGATGAACCGGGCGGCTTGTGGATAGCTCAAGCTTCATTTGATATTGGTTTATCTTGGGCTAGCGCATATTACAAAACGAGCCAAATATGCCCAATTTTTAAAGCTCATTTTTTATTCAAGCTAAAACCAAGCCGCTTGATTTTTTATGCATTAGATACCAATTGGCTAGCACTACTTTGAGTTATTCAATGTTTTGTCTTTTTTATCTTGGAAACATACTTTGAATATTCTACTCATTTAATACCTCTCACATCTTTGTAAGTTCTCTCTTTGTGTCCATTGCTTGCCTTATTCAAGGATACTTTTCTCCCAAAAATGATTTGTCTTCCAGAATGATTTAATTATGTATCCTAAATTATGCTCACATATCTGAAATATTTGTAAAGTGTCCTCCAAGCGTAGAAAAAGTTTGCAGTGTAGTAACTCGGAAAATCCGAGGTCGTTTCCTTAGGGACATATGGCAATCTGAATGGTAATATGTTTGCAAAGAAAAAAATAAAAATACATCGGTTTTGTGAAAAATGGTGAGAGTAGCAACTAATGTAGTAAATTACAATGGAAAATAATCGGTCAATCCTTGGGAGTCATCTCATAATAATCAAACTTATTAATTATCATTTATATCTCATCCAAACTCATAATCAAATTCACTCGGATAGAGAATATTCAACTAAAATTAGTTTTGAACAACATGTTGTTTTGAAGGTAGGTAATGAAAGCAAGAATATAAATACTTAGCTGTATATATGAACTCTAAGTATTACTCATGCCGAAAGAAAGGTCAAGGAGAAATCAAAGTGTACACATAAAAACTAGTTTTCAAAAATGATTTTTAACATCTACATAGCATACTAGATGGTTAGAACACATTAGAGAATCAATAATGCTCGATTACAAATGAGGATCATCCCTCGGATTGCACCAAAACTTAGCTAAAAGCAAAACTCATTAAACAAAAATCAATTTTAAACAACTTGTTAAACCAACGGAAATAAACAAGAAGATTGAAGGAAATAAATTTAACTAGATTTGCTTCAAAATGCTAAGTTCAAATACAAGAATTAAACATACAACATAAGCTTTGAAAATGAAATGGAAAATCCACCTGTTGTCTTCTCAGAATCCAGACAAAACTCTCACAACGTAAAACTAGAACTAAACTCAAAGCTAAGAAAAAGCTCCCTATGCATATAGAAGTGTATGTATATATAAGCATCTTCCTTCTTCCTCCTCATTGGCAATGGTGTGTGGTGTGGTGCCATCATCCAATCACAAGCAAGCCATGGGGATTGGTAGCCTCCCCATTGACTGTGGAAGTGAATAAAGTGAGCCCATGCGAACAAGTGATAGCTCGGGACTTGTGTGACACAGTTGTGTGTGTAGATGTACCAATACAAAGGATTGATGAACTAGTACAATACATCTCTGTAATACTTATGCAAAACTTATGTAAACTGATGAACTGGTACAATGGATGAAGTAAACCAGTACAATGTTTTTCTGCTGAACTTCTGAAAGGTAATGAACTGGTGCAAAGGATTTATGAACCGGTACAACCCCTTTTTGCAGCCTGATGTACCAGTACAACAACCTTTTTTTTCCTGTTTCTTCTGTTGTTGCTTCCTGGTTCATCTCCTCTCCTTCTTCAAGCTTCCTCTTGCCATCCAATCAACTCCAATTCATTCCTTCTTCGCCTCTCTGTACCTACAACACACAATTCTCATAATCAACCTAAATCTTGACATAATTTGTACAGACAACACCTAACAAATGCATAAAGTGGATGGGTTAAATCACAAAATATAAAATATTATGTATTCAACATACCCCCGACTTAGGTTTTTCTAGTCCCTAGCAAACAACTTATAGAAAAGCATGCATCCATCCATTCATTAATCCCCCACACAATTAAACTAACAATACATAACCAGCACAACCCGTACACAACAAACACATAACAAAGATTTTAAAACACTATGAAATCAAAAGATGTTGATATATACATCAAATATCAGTGGGTGCAAAAGATCAAAATGTAACAGTCTTAGGACAAAAACTAAAGGTTTCCTATCCTAAGCTATTACAATCCCAACTAGACATCTTCCTAAAAACAACAAAAACTACACAATGGCCTAAATCTAGCAATCTCATTTGAGGCATCCTCCTCCTCCTCTAAACCAGATTCAACATTGCCATCCTCCTCATCCTCATTGCTCCTTATCTCCTCGACAACATCAACATCCCTTGGCTCACAAACAAAAGCAAGAGGTGGCTTTAATGTAGCTGGGGGGACAGCAGGTGCAATGGTGGTAGTGGTAGCTGATGCGGAAAGTGGAAAGACTCCAGGTAGTATCTCACCAGGGCCAAGAATCTTAAACAATCGACGTTGTATCCCCTAAGAAAACTCCAAGTCCCTAGCCATCCCATCCTATGTCTGCCTCATATCAGAAATGTTAAAATCCAGACCTTCCATTGTCTCATCTAGCTAGGTCATTCTCTGCGGAATGGTGGCTCTAGATGTTGGTAGAGGACGAACAGGTGCAACAGTCGATGATGTTAGCTGATATGAAGACCTATCCACTCTAGGGGCTCTTGACACAGTGAAACTCTTCCTCTCTCCCCAACTACTGATAGGCCTCTTCTTCGAAGGACTCATCTGATCCACCTGAGTGTTCCACACTCCGACCTTTTCACACATCACTGTAACCATGTGTGCAAAAGGCATGTTCCCTTTTGGCCTAACTGTAGACACGTCCTCCTTCATCACTCCCCAAATGAATAAAGCAATATCATTCCTCAAACCCACCATAAACTCATGTAGTAAAATGATCTTAGGTAGATTAGGCTTCTTCTTATTTCCCTTGGGGTACACATTATAGTGTAAGATCTTATTCATCATCTTATAGTCCGTAGTCATTCACCCCTGAACGAACTATCCATCAAACTGACTAAAGTCATCATACATAATCTCAACATTTTCAGTCAGACTATTAGCACCAAACTCCGAAAGGGTAGTCTATATCCTTGGGATGAGGTCTCACATATCCCAAGTATGTGGCGATGTTATCGGGTGTAACCTCAATAATAAGTCCTCAGGCCGTAGTCCTTAGTATCATCCCTTCACCATTCACTAAACTAATGCCATTACAAAACTCACAACAAAATAAAAGAATGTACCCCGTCACCGACTCGAAGAAGAAATCCAATCCGCACCCCATGAGTTGTTGGATTTAGAACACTCTTACCCAAACTGTTTCTGCCAACTATTCTCTCACATGTAGTTCCCCTCACAACAATGGTACACTCCTATATCACTCTACGCCGCTTTCTTGCCTAGGGGCTCCTCCTCGTTGCTGCCCTCGGTAACCTTTCCCTTCCCTTTCTCCCATCTACTAGCTCTAAGCCTAGAAGCCGACGCTGAAGACCCAAGAGACTTGGCCATGCCCATTAGCAACACACCCATCATGGCCATAATGCATAACAAAGCCCAAAACCAAGATAGTGTCTCATGGATGGTGGATTCAAACAACTTCCTTGCCACCATTGTTAAAGGAGTTAGGGTTTGGGGTTTGCGGTAAGTTTCAGTGGAAGAAGGTAGATGATTTGGGGGCTAGAGTGTAGGGTGGTGTATTTCAAAAGCTTGGGAGATAAATAAGAGGAAGAGTGTTTGAGTTTTGAGGGAAAAGGAAATAAAAAATCGTCGTCTCTCTTTTTAAAATCTGAAAAAATTTGACTTCGATGAACCGGTACAAAGATGTTTGTACCGGTATATCACTCTCTATCCCTACGATGAATCGATACAGGTTGTACCGTATATCTACCAATTTTTTTATTTTTTTACTTTTTTTCTTTTCTTTTTTTCCCCTATGTACAGGCCTAAGACATCTACTTACTCAGTGACATAAAACATGTTAATTAAAAAACACACAAAAACATGCAACAAAAACTACCAAATACCTTGGATTCAATGTGAATTTCAATTAAAACACAAAAAAAAAAACCTAAGGCCACTTTTCATAGGGTACACGTTTGCATTTAGCAAATGCAATAAGGCTTTAAACTCCTAGGTCACCTTATTGGATGAGTTATGTCTCGTGAATATTTTTAATAAAGGTACCTACAAACTTCTTTTTAGGCAACCTAAAATTTAGAACATATTATTATATGTTAATTAACAATGAGATTTAAGAAAAAATCCTTATCCACTAAATGTATTTACACAAGAGGTACACCACATATTTAAATGCTATGTAAAAGTATTCACATACACATTTCCATTAGAGACTCGTGTATGTGTGTGTGAAACGATAGTGAAATTTAAGAAATTTATTAAATAAAACCCACATCTCTATTAGCTATCCAATTTATCTTTGATGCAAATCTCACCAAGGATTTTCTCTCAAAACAAAAGACCCTCTGATTTTTGTGACGTTTCACTCATTGTGCATATGTGAAATTGATTCTTGTATTTCAAAACAAAGTATAACTCACATATAATTTAGAAATGACCGAAATTTATACAAATAAAATAACCTTGGCATAATCTTATGAAATAATGTTATAGTTGACCTACCTCTAACATGATTTAGTACATACACTTGCCACAATTCTCAAGATCAAATATGACTTTATCTGATTGCAATGTGCTCTTTGGTGAAAGTTAAAGAAATGAAGGGTTATAGAAATTCAAAATGAGTTATCCCAAGAATATGACTTTTCTAACCACTTCTCCTCATTTCTCTTTTCCTTTCACTTCCTTTCTTTCTTTCTTTTTTCTTTTGCCTTTGGATGTCAACAATAAGCTCAAACAGTCTTAATCCTCCTTTCTTTCACCTTTCTTTTTTTCTTTTCTTCTAACCACCATTCCATTTTCATATTATAAAAAAAATCAGTCCCCGGATAACCAAGGTAAGATAAACACAATTATGCTTGGCTTGGTAAATCATGTCGCTAAGAAATAAAATTTTCAATAAAGCTCAATCACGGCTACTACGAATGATGTCGTGAAAGAATAGGCTAAGGCTCAAATTAATTCAAAGATGGCCTAAAATCATTTCTCAAAAATGTATGGCAAGGTACTCTTTTGCTTTGAGATATAATCAACTAATGACCTCCTTTACACTAACCAAAACAAAAATAACGAAATTATTGAAAGAAATTGAATTTGAAAGAATAGTCTATTGAGTAAATGTATTTCAATCCTCTAACAAAGAATGGCACAAAAACTTACAAAGGTAATACATTCATCTTCCCTATATATGTCAAGCCTTTTTAACATGTGAATCTCATTGACTAAATTGTAAAAATTAGCATTCTCATAGTGCACATAGGTTGAGTTTCACATGAAAACATGCATATGATATTTAAATATAGAATAAACTCATGCAGTGTGCTAACATGCAAATAACTCAAGATTCAAGTTCAATAATTAAAAATCTTATGCTAATTAAAAGATAATAATACAATCCAAATCGGATGCTTTATTTCTTCCCTTTTTTTTATATAAATTTCAAAATATCTCAATTTTCACATACTTTTCAATATGCACATGGTTGTGTAACATATAATCATGGTGTAACCCTCACCCCCCCAACTTAAATCATGAATTGTCCTCAATGTAGAAACAGTCACGTAAAGAGAAAATAAGGTAAGAAAACACCTGGTACTGAGCTTTAAAAAGAAAAACCACCAATTGCAAAAAAAAAAAAAAAAAACCTACATACACAAAAAAAAAAAAAACTGTATACAAAATGAAAATAAACTAACTACCCCTAAACTAACAAATGAACAAAAAGAACTACTCAAAAGCAGGATCCTGATATATAGTATCAACTAAGCCTTAACAACCTCCTCAAGTGAGAACCCCTCAAGAATGGCTTAAGTCTCTATCAATTAACTTTGAAAGTCTACCCATTCTTAGGGTTTTCTACCTCCATGGCCCCGTTCGGATAAACAACTCAGACTACATAAGGGCCAGTCAAAGAGAATGCAATTTCCCTAGAAAAAGGTGAAGATGAGAGTTGTACAAAAGCACTTATTGACTTGGCTCAAAGGTCTTTCTCAATATGGCATTATCATGAAAAACTTTGACCTTTTCTTTATATATTTTAGTACCCTCGTACGCATCTCTACGTATTTCCTTCAACTGATTGAGCTAAAACTTCCTATGATCACTGATTGGACCCAAACTAAAATTCAATGACCTGATGGCCCAATACGCACAATGCTCAATCTCCACTGGAAAATGACAGGCCATGCAATAGACTATAACCTGTAGGGAGACGATTAACGCTAAATAATGCATTAATGAATTAGTTTTTAAAGTTAATTATATGAGTAAAGTAGGTTAAAATAACTAAGTCATGAAAAATTAGGGTTAATGTGGGAATTGGATTTTTTGCAGGGTTTTGTGCAAAATTACAGGAATTCAAGGGGGATAAAGTGCACAAGCTGAATAAAAAGGGGAGGCAAGTGTAATTACCACATGAATACATCAAATAAAGGAAGCTTCCTAGCATGCAAAACCAGAGAAAAGCCACCGTTCGGACAATGGTGGTAGCGTCCGGATGGTCCTAAACTGCCTTAAATTCTCTCTCTACACCTTATTGGTCCAAACAAACAACAAAGTCTTCTGATTGGTCAGCAGGGAGTCTGCCACCTTAAAGGGTCCCTCCAGTGCCTATAAATAAGCTGCTTCAATTTCATTTTAAAGAGATTCGCCATAGTTCAATTCAAACAATACAGAAGGAGAGAAAGAGAGAAAAAGAGAAACGAGGCCATGGCAGAACCACTTTCCAGCCAGAATTGTCTCTACTTCTACATTTCTGTTATCCTTTCTACTTGGAGGGTTGAATCTCTCCTACTTTTGTGCCCTAGCCAGTAATAAGAGTGGCAGGGTTTCATCTATTCTTTGGGGAAGGATTTGTTTTGTATTTTGTTTTAGTTGTAATGAGACTATTTCACTCCTTTTGCTCATCTATAGCAATGAGGCTGGAGTAGTCTGTGTATACTCTTTAGTGAAGGGTGAACACAGGTGTAATAGAGTTTATATTATGGAAATGCCAATATTTTACTTATGCTTTAATGTTTATACATCCCTTAATTGATGAATGATTACATTTATAATATGCTTATGGTTATGAACACCGAGCGGTATTTAATGCTATATACCATACTATTTGTACTTATTACGTACTTCATGCATGATACAGTGATGTACATAGTTGGACTCTATGTAACAGTTTGGATATTGGTTATAGACGGGTTAAATCTTGTCATAGTCAATGTTTTTGATTCAATGCATAAACCGGAACTCCATCATCAGTGAATCATCAACCTACCAATTGAATATCTTAAGTAAACCTTCTGAATGGCTCAACTTTTGGTTTACTAGGGTTATTTGATTAATGCATGGTACAAAGACCTTCCAGCTAACATAAACAGTTGTTGTGTTATGATTTAATATACATAAAACCTACCGCTTAACTTTCCAGTAAAATGAGAGTTAATTGTTGTAAGGTGACATTTCCAATAACTAAACAATATAATGCATGTTGAATCCCTGAGTTGAAGAGTACCCTTTTATTATTATATTTCTAAATTTTTAGTTAAGTGTTTAGTTTGATTGTTTTAAGCTCAGACCACAAGTTGATCCATTGTACTTTGTATCCACGACAATTTCACCGTTTCTATTTTGAATCCTAATAGTTATTTCCTTGTGGGTTCGACCTCGAACTTAAACCGAGAAATACTGTAATTTAACCACTTATACTTCGTTGTATAAATCAGGTCAGATCAAGCTTTTTGGTGCCGTTGTCGAGGAGTTACGGTGATTTCAAAATAAGCAGGGAAGTTGTCTAGTTTGTATTATATGTATATTCACTGTTTGTTGTATTTTCATTATTTATGTCTGTTAAGTCATCAATAGGATCTATAAACCAGTCTAATCCTTCATCTTCGTCATCTTCATCATCACAAGCATCATTTGAGTTAAGCATAGTTCATAATAATCAACAGGAACAAGAGGTAGTTTAATGTCCGACCTTTAAGAGAATATTTACATCTCACACCACTAATGTCCCTTCATGTTTTACTTTTCCCACTAATGCTCCACATTTCAACATTAAGGCGTTGTGTACCCAATCGTGAAATTGGTCAGGTTATCTTATTTTGTAATTCTGAAGCTAGTGGATGACATTTTTCTTCAAAGAAAACTGTAAAAAATCGCTACTAAAATTCTATAGTATGGATTCTATTGGCCCCCCCTTTTTAAAGATAGACATGTCTTTTGTCTAAACTGTGACAGATTTCAAAGAATGGGGAATATTTTAAAAAGAAACATGATGTCTTTAAAGCCTATTTTGATCATTGAAATTTTTGATTGTTGGGGCGTGGACTTTATGGGACCATTTTTCCCATCCTTTGGACCTTTGTACAATTTGGTTGCTGTTGATTATTTTTCTAAGTAGGTAGAGGCAATCTCTTGTCGAAATAATGATCACCGCATAGTGATCAAGTTTTTTTAAAAAAATATTATGTCTAGATTTGAAATTCCTCGAGCCATTATCAAAGATAGGGGAACACATTTCTGTAACAATGTTTTTGAAAACT